CAAATGGTGAGGACAGCATAAGGCCATCCCCAGGCCACACTTGGGGGACTCAGCACTTTGGGGACTGTAGACTACACTAGCTGGAGCATTCAGACTTATTCTGCAAGACCGTCTTTCACATTTAATTCTGCCACAGTGATAATGCGAAGTGTGTCCTGTAGATGTGGTGACTCTGTCACTACAGAGTAGAGCCCTGTTCAGGGTGACGGCTCTCAGGCCTCACTGCAAGATGGGACGGGAGCTACATTTTGTTAGCAGAATCCCTCAGGCCCATCTTTCTGCAGGGAGTCCTGCAGGGATTCATTCTGAGATTTTCCATAAGTCTAAAGCACATTCCTAGAAATCCTTCTTTCTCTTCCCTTGTGTATATAGTTGAAAACTAAAAATCCCAGCTAATTCTTTACTGTATGTCAGGCTACACGTCTAAGTCATTTCCGTGAAAAGTCTTTGGACTCTGTCACAACTCTTCTGCTTTCCTTTTTCCCTGTAGTGAATATTGATTTTTGTCCGTAAGAACACAAAATAGTACCTGAGGCCAGTCATTAAGTTCTAACTTATTAAGCCCATTTGCTGGACAGGGAGAGGAGGTCTTTTCCATCCCTTAAATGAACCTAAGAGTGTAAAATGGCCCAACTTTTCTAGAAAGCAGTTTGGCAATAAGTATCAAAGGCCTTAAACAGCATTCTTAAGGAACTAATCAGACATGTGGATGATCTCTGTACTATTTACAGTAGTGAAAATTGGGATCCACCTAAATGTCCAGCAGAGGTTGAATGATTAAAAATTATGAAAAATTTGATATTATTGGAACTATTTAAAAATTAAGCTTTCAAATTGATTAGTGTCCTAAGGAAATGCTCATCATAAATATTTTTTCTTTTTTTTTTTCATAGGCCCTATTTGTGTATCATGATAAAATATTTAAAAAAGAAAAAAAGCAGGACAGAAATCTGGACCCACGGAATGATCATAGTCGTACATGCTATGCATAAACACATGTGCACAAAGAAAAAAGACTGCAAGGAAACACATCTTAACTGTGGATTCACAAATGACAGTCTGGTGGCACTGAATTTGGTTTTTTTCTTATACCTTTCTGTCTTGTCTACAGTTTATGTACTAAACACAAAATACCTTTATAGTCAGGGGGGAAAGTCCTAAAGAAATAAACCCCAAGAGGCTGTCGAGACGTGTGGGTTAAGTTGTAGTCAACAAAGCACATTATCCAAGACCAGCGAGGCTTGCCCACGCATACTTTCAGGTGTCTTTAGGTGAATTCTCCCACTGCAGATGGAGGGGAGGTGTCCTTTTCCAATCGCTGGAACTCTTCTGGTTAAGACAGGAAAGAGTCAACGAGTACTGAAATTTGTGTGCAGCAAACAAGAGCCCTCCAAATTATAAATGAGCAAGAGCTAAGAGATAATTAGACGCTGGTGTTAAGGGTGGTGACTTGTCCTTCAGAACTGTGGTATGGTCTGTTTAAAAGTTAAATGGAATTTAGTTTAATATTAACAGATTTTTGGTTTCCTTGGTACCATCTTGTGCTTAAGGCAGATGAGGTCAAGCAATTGAGAAACCTAGACGGTCTGGTCCTCCCTCTTGGGGACATGGCAGTGGTTATAAATTATGGTAATTTCTTTGTGTGGTAATGAGAGGCTTTTCTCGAAGTCCTTGAAAAATGCCTGTTCTCAGTCATCTGTATATGAGGAAAGGGAGGAGGAGTGTAGAGGATCCAAAACTCATTTCTGTTCAACTTAAAAATGAATTTGATTTTTTCCCAGAGGATTTGCTCTCCTCTCCTAAGCATTGTAACGAGAGAGTCTTCCGTAAGTACACACCAGCCGATTGCAGGAGAAAGTCCCCAGAGGCATGTCAGGTGCCAGGCTGGGACTGAAGATCTGTCAGGAGCACCTCTACACGTATGTCTGCGTGTCGTACTCAAGCACAAAGCCCAGGCCAGTGTCCCCTCTTTGGCTGATGCCATACCCCCCCTTCTTCAAAAGGAGCAGCAGATCCCAGTGCCTTTGCATTCTGCTTCCATACCCCGGGGAGCGTATGAGAATTCCCACCAGCGTGGAGGAAGCAGAGGCTGTCAGCCTGGTGGTGTGGCCCTGTCATGTAGGTCCTGAAACATGCATGTTACAGATGGGATTAGTCCAAGAGGGTCCAAGTAGGACCTAACAACACCTGTGACAGACAGTCAGGAAACAGTTGTTGAGTAAGTGACTGTTTTCCTCTGACCTTGCCAAGCATGTGAAAGCACACTGTCATTTGGTTGTAGCTTGAAATGACAAGCTCTAGGTTCTCACTATTGAAAACAATGCTCTGTTATGACCAGTGATGTCTGTAAATCTCTATGGCAGCTACTGCAGTCTTAGGAGACTTAAGGAGTTGAAGTGGTTTTTCTTTTACATTAATTAGAGACCTTTTCTAAACTTTAGAAGAGGAAGCAGGGCATGTTTTGTTATTAAAAAAAATTTTTTTTTCCTGCTAGTAGGTGATATTCATAAGAGTATTCTTTTTATTAATTTAATTAATCATCTAATGACATATTTGTGTAATAAAATGCATTAAGAACTTTTTCATTAGCCTGCTCCACATGTAAACTGAAAATAGCTCTAAGGCTAAGATTGAACCTCAAAATAGCAGAACCCTAAACTGCTTCAAAAAAATATTCACCAAATAATGAAATTATACCTAGTGTTACAGTAACGTACAACTAGAAGTTAGTAGGACTGAGTACCCAAAACTTGATTGTCATGACAGGTTTTGCTAGCTTTTTTATCAACTCACAATGAGATTTCTTACAGGTCTGTATGACCAAAAAAACTGTGTTCTGACAAGCTTTATCTGTGATTGATGAAACAACCTTTTATCTTTCCTGTGTTGGTTTATAGAGCTCACATCTGCTTTAGGAACCATAAAAGATTGTTAAAAATGGCCTGTCATGTGCTTAAAAACAAAAAGATTTACTGAATTTTGTTCTGATTACAAACGATTTTTTTCTTCTCTCAGTTGGCAAATTTCAAAAATCAATTCTATCCAGAGGGTGGTTTACAAGGATGTGGGAAAATATGAATTCTCAGATACTATTGCTGGGTGGGTAAAATACTGCTTTGCATAGGGCAGTTTGGTAGTAGCTATCATAATTATAAATGGATATAGCCTCAAAACCAGCAGCCCTGCTCTAAGAAATATATTCTTAAAAACCACTAATATAAGTGCATATAGAATGATATATATCCAGAGATGCTCATTACAACATTATTTGTAATAGCAAAAAGTTGAAAAACAAAAAAGAACATTAATTAGTAGGAGAATTAATGGGTTTTAATTAACAGATTAAAATCAACAGGTTTGGTTCCTTGTACCAGCCAACCACCAAAAATAAATAAATAAATAATGCATCCATGTACTAGAATATTATACAGCCATTTAAATTAATGATTTCTATCTATCTGTGAGGAGTTGGTTGGCAGCCCTTAATATAATAGGTAAAAATAATGAAATTGTACACAATGCTTGCACAAACTCTGTGGTAAAATTAATGATTTCTATCTATCTGTGAGGAGTTGGTTGGCGGCCCTTAATATAATAGGTAAAAATAATGAAATTGTACACAATGCTTGCACAAACTCTGTGGTTCTGTGGATTTGGATAAGTATAGGAAGAGCTTTAGAAGATTACACATCAAACTAGTCATATAGT